ATGTAGGGTCAAGCCCTCATCTCTGCAGCCTCCAAGTCCATTTCCTGCAATGCTAACAAAGTCAAGGCTGCAGGGTCTCTTTCTCCCAAAGCCCCGGGCCTCATTCAACATGGATAATTTTTAAAATTTTCATTTTGTTTGAAAGGTAGAGAGTGAGAGAGGGCACGAGAAAGACAGCGACAGTGAAAGAAAGATCTTGTATTTACAAGTTCACTTCCCAAATGCCTGCCAGCAGCCAGGGCTGGGCGAGGTTAAACTAGGAGACCGGAACGCCATCTGAGTCTCCCACACAGATGGCAGGAACCCAAGTTCTTGAGCCTCCCAGGCTGCATTAGCTGGAAGCTGGATGAGAAACAGAGCCGGGTCAAACCCAGGGCATCCCTAGTGCTGACCTAACCATTCTGCAAAATGCCTGCTCCAGGGCTGGCACTGTGGCGCAGTGGGTTAATGCTCTGACCTGAATCACCGGCATCCCACATGGGCGCCGGTTTGAGACCTGGCTGCTCCACTTCCTATCCAGCTCTCTGCTATGGCCTGGGAAAGCAGAAGATGGTCCAAGTCCTTGGGCCCCTGTACCCGTGTGGGAGACCCGGAGGAAACTCCTAGCTCCTGGCTTCGTATCGGCGCAGCTCCGGCCATTGCAGCCAACTGGGAGTGAACCAACGGATGGAAAACTCTCTCTCTCTCTCTCCTTCTCTCTCTCTCTGCCTCTCCTTCCTCTGTGTAACTCTGACTTTCAAATAAATAAATAAATAAATCTTAAAAAAAATGTCTGCTCCAACACTGGTAATTCTATTATACAAATATATAGTAGTATACCATGTGTATTATATAATAACAAATAATAATACAGGCTATGCATCAGTATGTAATGTATGTGTTCCCTCGCTCCTTTATATGCCTCTGGACTCCTCCATGAACTTGGCCATCTCTTCCCCCCACCCAGTCCTGGAGTCCCACCACCTCTTCCCCAGAAACTCCGCCCCTCCCTCTCCTCTGGGAGCCTGGGTTGAGGGTGTGATTCAGCTCAGAGTAGCTGGGCTCAGTTTTTGTAAAGAGGTTGCCGTGTGTGCACTTTTGCCAACCTCAAAGCCACAGGAGGTAGGAGCTCAGTGCCTTTCCTTTGTAACAGTGACTCTGCATACTTTTCCTTTAGAGAGAAGTGCTGGGCACACCGACGGGGCTCCAGGACATCCCCCAGGGACCCCGTGCCTCTCCCATCCACACCTGCAGCTGCGCACATCCCACCACCTGTGCAGACACTGCTGGCTCTCCCTGGGGGTGTGTCACTTCTGTTACAGGGACTCTGGAGGCAGAGTTGTTCTCTGGAGCTACCAATACCCGGTTTATTCCAAGGCTCTGTCAGATGGGGCTTCCGGACACCCACGACTCCCCAGGCCGGCCTTTGCCTGGCCATGAAATCCCTCACTGCTGGGCTGCTGCCAGGTTTAGGGGAGATGGAGGGGCCTCTGGACTGGGGATGTGGCGGGAGAGGGTGGGGACATGGGGGAGGGAGAGGGTGACCGATAAACTACACCCATTCTCCACCAGTGCCCATCCGGGACACACCCGCTCCTACACAGTGACACACTCTTCACCAAGGCTTGGAGGCTGCAGGGTGCAGGTCCAGCTGGCTGAAGTGAAAGGAGAGGGCTTCTGGTAAGGGGCCTGGGGGTCTCAGACTAGGAATGAATGGAAGCCACTGCTGGCCACGGAGGAGTTGGAATCAGGAGCGCCCGAAAGCCAGGCCCAGCCTCTGGCTCTCCAAGGAAGCAAGCACGCTCCTTCCTGCAATGCTTGGCGCCCCGGCCCTGCCCCTGCCCCTGCCCCTGCTGTCCTGTTCTCGCCCAGACCGGGTCCCTCAGTGCCTCCTGGAGGTTTGCCGTAGACGGCAACCTCGCAGCCCGGAGCCAGGGCCTGCCTGCTAATTCCTTCTTCTAAAACACTGCATTTCCTTTTTCTCTGTCTCATTGACCCAGGCGTGTACCTCCTTGCAGGTGTACGTCCTTGTGTACGTGTGCAGTGACTGGAGCCGGGGAACAAGCGTCTCCGTCTCCTCTGCCTGTCTCTGTGTGTGGAGGCTTTGAGCTGCTCTCTCCGGGGTCTCCACGTGCAGAGGTTGTTGTCATCACGGTCATCCTGCTGTGCTGCTGAGCACCGGAACGCATTCTCCCCACGCAGCAGTGTTGTACTGCCGGCTATCCAGCCTCCCTCGGAGCCCCCAGCCTCTGCCCCCAGCCTCCAGCAATTACTATCCCACTCCCCTTTCTGGAGAACAGCCTTTTAGCTTCCATGCGTGCATGAGAACATGCAGAGAGCAACAGCTCAGCTTAGGTGGGGCATCCACCCTCCAACCAATTAGAACGGGCGGCCAGGGCCAGGGTGTGAAATCACCATGCACGGTGTCTCAAGGCCAGTGGCTCGTTCTCCTTGGAGGTCTCTGCCCATTTCTGGGGAGACGGAAGCGAGAATCCCCACAGCAATTAGGTCTGTCTCTCTTCTTGGCTCTTACGGCTGTCTCCCTGGTGTTGGCACTGTTTTTATAAAGATCTCATCTCCACCTTCCCACCTGCCAATAAACTGGCTGCCCTAGTCTTCCTCTCTCCCACAGTTTGCGTAAAAAGACTTGTACACGCACTCAATAAAAATCTAAAGTTGACGTCATCTCAAATAAAGCAGCTTTCAGGAAACGTTGTTGCTTGGACAAGTCTTGTATTTCCCTGGGTCATCCTGAGTTAATTAAATTCAGTTGATTCAACCGATTTGTATTGAGGGCCTTCTGCCTGCAAGGCACTGTCCTGGCTGCCGTGGATACGACGCCGAACAAGACAGAAAGTTGGCCCCATCCAGCTTCCGGTTTAGTGGTGGAGCCCATGCTCAGACAGTGTTTGCTAGGCACTGGGCTGGATGCTGGGGTGGGTCCCCGGCTGTGCCTGGAGGAGCTGCGTCTTCCTGGGAATGGTCGCCAACAGCCTGCTGCACAATGGGGCAGCGTTATGAAGGGTTGGAGAAGAGGTGCTGTGAAGCCTAGAGAGTAAGCGGCGACCAGCAGGAGGAGGGGTGGCCAGGGGAAGTTCTGCTGAGATGAGTGACACGTGACTGAACTTGAAGGGTGAGTGGAAGTTTGCCAGCAAGAGAGTGAGTTGGATGTATGAGTGTGCATGTGCTTGGGGTGTTGTAAAAGGCATGCCAAGGATGGTGATCAGAACCTTCCAGAAAGAGCTGTTATCTGCAGATCTTGATCACCGTGAAAGGGCACCTGCACTCGGGGAACAGCAGGAGCAGGAGGGCAAGGAACGAGGAGACTGGCCACAGACCCCCGCCCTGGCCCCGAGCACTGAGCCCAGGAAGCGAGGGGTAAGTACCCACGGCCAGCAGTGGTGATGATGGTGGCCAGGCGCCAGGCCAGCAACAACCTCCGGCTAGGAACATAGTGTAGGAAGCCCTGGTGGCCGGCCTTGCTCCTGCCCCATGGCTGTGGACCTTGGGCCCATGAAGGGGGGTGGCTGGATGCTGAGGTGCTGGTGAAATCTTCATTCCCAAGTTAAAACCTTCCCCAGAAAGCACTGCATCTTCCGATTTTCACCCCCTTGTGAGGGGAATGGGAGTTTCTGAATTCTGCAATTGGACTTACGAAATCAAAAGAAAAGTTGTCTGTAGATAAAAAAGAAGAAACCAGCAGAAGGGGGCCTCCACGTCCCCACGTCCTTTGAGTTTGTGTACAGCTCTCAGCCGAGGATGTGATGAAGGTCAGAGAAAGGGGATTTCTGGAGCCAGCTCCTTCCCCGGGAATGCTCCCCACAGAAGGGCGCTCCTGTTCCCACCGTCTCCCTGTGCCCGGGTGAGGGCGGAGGGGAGCCGAGCTGGGATGGCTCACACTCAGCCCCTCCCTCCCTGTGCAGCTCCGTCTGCTCCCCCGCCTCTCCTGTCAGCCTGCAGCCCTGCTGGCCCTCCTCTCGGTCAGTCTTAGAGAGGGTCTTCCCTCTTCTCTGCTTCTCAAAGCCAAGGCTGAAAGCATCCCAGGCCCCCGAGCCGACCAAGAGCTCCACCTCTGCGCTCTCCCAGCGCTGTGGGCTGATCTCTGGTTTTCCTCTCCTCTCAGGATGACAGTGATGGGTCCCGATGCAAAGCAGCTGCATCTCTTGACCTCAGGGACCAGACTTTCATCACCTTTGTATCCTTAGGCACTAGCAACAGTACCTGTCACTCTTTGCTAATGAACGCTGGTTGACCTGGGCACCTTGTCCATTGGGGCTGGGGGAGGATGAAGACAGCTTTGGAAACAATTTCAACCAGCAGATGAAAGAACGGCGTCATGATGGGAAGGCAAACGTGGGAGCCTGGAGAGGGGGTGGGGGCTGCAGCAGGTGCATGGTGTTGAGTGCGGCTCTGGGCTCCTGCACTTCGTTGCGCTAGGCCTGGTGCTTGGAGCAGGTGAAGAAGAAGAGGAGGAGATAAGTGTAAGAAGATGTGTGTTTCATAGTTATGTTGTTAGTAATATCTAGGGCGATTTTTAAAAAATTGCCTTCTGGGGCTGGTGCTGTGGCATAGCAGGTAAAACTGCCATTTATCCCATATGGGCACTGGTATGGGTCCCAGCTGCTCCACTTCTGGTCCAGCTCTCTGTTATGGCCTGGGAAAGCAGTAGAAGATGACCCAAGTCCTTGGGCCCCTGCACCTGCATGGGAGACCCGGAAGTATGGGCAGTGTCAGTATCCCATATGGGCACCGGTTTGAGTCCCAGCAGCTCCACTTCTGATCCAGCTCTCTGCTATGGACTGAGAAAGCAGTAGAAGATGGCTCAAGTCCTTGGACCCCTGCACCCATGTGGGAGACCCGGAAGAAGCTCCTGGCTCCTGGCTTTGGATCAGTGCATCTCTGGCCGTTGCAGCCAATTGAGAGTGAAACAGCAGATGGGAGACTTCTCTCTCTCTCTCTCTCTCTCTTTCTGCCTCTCCTCTCTGTGTAACTTTTTCAAATAAATAAATACATCTTTTCAGGTTACCGTATGAAACCAGACACAGCTGTATCCACTGATCACCTCATGTCGGTTTTACAGAGAAGAGAACTAAATGTACAAGAGGTTCAATAACTTTATCAAGGTCATGCAGCCAATTCACGATGGAGCCAGGGCTTAAATCCAGGTCTACAACTGTGGTTCATCAACAAAGAGCTCAAAGGTGAGTCACTACCTGATAATTCAATGCTTAGTGGCATCACAGGGACACAGAGTTTAAGGTTTTGTTTTGTAATTTTTTTGTTCTTTTTTTTGGGGGGGAGGAGGAGGGCCAAGGGTGAGTCCCAACCCTGGGCTTCTCGTTCCTTGAACAATCCTGGCTTCTTGTTCCTTGGACAGTCCTGCCCAGGTGTCTGTCCTATCCCCTTGCTCTGTTCTCTCTGCCCAGGCGGTTAGAATAGGACCCCCTAGCAAGAGACCAATCTTCCGGCAGATAAGAGAGTCTTTAGGCAGACCCTGGGAGAGGCAGGTGAGGGGGATGTCTGTGAAAGACCTCAAGGGCAGAAGCAGCGTGGTCCTGGAGGGCAGGGGGCAGTGGTCTCCTCCAGATACTGTCCTTCCCGGAGGCCCAGCCCTGAGTGGGTCAAGTTCAAACACCAGGCTTGCACGGGATTACCTGGGCCTGCTGGCTCAAAAGGCAGGTCTTTAACCCCACTCGGATATGCTCAAGGTCTTTTCCTGGGCCCAAGAGTCTGCCTTTTTAGGGCAGAATCCCAGAGAACCCGCAAATTGAGGACCCTACCTTTCGCACTGCAGTCATACCCATGTGATTTTGCTGTTGATGCCAAGAGAACTGGGGGTGCCAGGAACTTGGGGCTGGGCGCCTGCCAGGTCCCTGCACCAATCAGAGGCATTGACCGGGAGGCCGTGTGTAGGAGTCCCCATCTTTCGGAATTAGTGATGTGGTTAGAGTAGCAACGTGACTTTCTGTGGACGGAAGGTAGGTCGGATGTGAGAGTCTCCCTCCGTGAACGCGAGTGCGTCATCTGAGTCAGAGCTTGTATCTTTACTCTCAAAAACAAGTCATTTTTGTTCCTGTCAGCAGCTTGGCTTAGCCCACAACAAAGCGGCGAGCTGGATGCTGGGACAGGGAGGTGGCTACAGGACTCAGGTGAGCCGGTCGGCCAGGCTGGGTTTGGGGAGAGCAGGGACTTGTTCTTACTCAGGGATCAGTCCACCTGCCCACTGCCGTGCAAGCACAGGCCTTCAGGAAACTGTTCGTGGGAATTTTTTAATCACTGGGGATGGGGTGGGCTTGTCCAGAGCTCTTTAAGGAAGTGAATTTCAACCTGCAGGCAATTCCAATGTATCGAAAACCTGAAAAAAAGACATGCAGACCTCATTTGGATGTACTACAATGTTTCAAAGGATTTGTTTAGTTATTTGAAAGGTAGAGTTACAGAGAGATGAGAGTCAGAGAGAGCTCTTCCATCTGCTGGTTCACCCCCCCTCCCCACATAGTCCCAACAGGAAGAACTGGGCCAGGCCAAAGCCAAGGAACTAGGAGCTCCATGTGGGTCTCCCACGTGGGTGGCAGGGTCTCAAGCACTAGGACCATCTTCTGCTGCTTTTCCTAGGCCGTTAAGCAGGGAGTGGGATAGGAAGTGGAGCAGCTGGGACTCGCACCTAAGGGCTCTCAGCATCACAGGTAGTGGCTTAACCCACTAGGCCACGAGTCCAGTCCCTCACACGTGCTAAATTCGACTTTTGGGGATGGAGTCTGGGGAGCTGTTTGAAGTGCCACAGAATTATGGAGCGATCAGTCCAGCATCATTTCAGTGAATGGCGTTGGAAGTCCCTGAGGTAAGAGAGGAAACCCCTCCCTCCCCGTGCCCCTCTGTGTCTCCCCGCCCCTCCCCTGCTCTTTCCTTCCCACCACAACCCAGTACTCCTACTCAGAAGAGCTCCTCCCATCTCTCCTGCAGGGAACCACAGGGACACAGCCAACTATGTGAAATCCACGGGCGCTTCGAGCATATTGAACTGTGGGTTGCTTAACACTTCCACCTGTTTGCCAGCTTTGCACCCAGCCTTGGAAGTCACAAGGCAGAGTTGGCTGACAGCTGTCCCAGCCATGGCCAAGAGGGTCCCTGAGGGGCCGGCGAACCGTGAGGTCCTTCCCCACTCAGGCATCCCTGGCTTCAGCGCTAACCTTTTTGGATTGCGCTGTTCTCAGTCTTCGTCAGAACACCCCAGGCTGAGTGCCTGGGAACGCTTTGGGTAGTGAGAGGCTGAGGGTGACTAGAGACAGGAGGAACTCGGGTGCACGAGGGCTGGGCGAGTGTGCATTGTGTGAGTCATAGCAGCGGCTTAGCCCACATCACCAAGCTGCTGCTCCTGGCAGCGTCCTTCCAGGCACAGCAAGGCGGAGGTTGGATGCACGCAAATGTTCCTGGGCAGAGGTGCTCTGTGAACCACCAGGGATCAGACCAGACACTCTGCCGTCAACCACCCAAGGAAGCTGCTCGCACCAGCTCCCTCCCCTGCTCCTGCGCGTTCACTCGGGGTGGAGGGGTGGAAGATCCAGGGGGAATTTCCAACCTAAAACTCTCCGTCTGGGCCTGAAATCCCCTGACTTCACAGGAGAACCAGCGGAGCGTTTGTGCTGCTGAATGGACGGACATTGCGGGTGTGGGTGTGAGAAGACACTCCCTCTTCAAAGCTCCCCCGATCCTTGGGCCCTGCGTGCCCTCCCCCTGTCCACACCTGGCAGTGTTTTTAGAGTACACACCTGTGTCTGGTCAATTTGGTGGTGTATGTATTCTTTTAAAAAATGATTGAGGGGCCGGTGCTGTGGCTCACTAGGTTAATCCTCTGCCTGTGGCGCCGGCATCCCATATGGGCGCCAGGTTCTAGTCCCAGTTACTCCTCTTCCAGTCCAGCTCTGCTGTGGCCCGGGAGGGCAGTGGAGGATGGCTCAAGTGCTTGGGCCCCTGCACCCCCACATGGGAGACCTGGAAGAGGCACCTGGCTCCACCGGATGGAAGACCTTTCTCTCTTTCTCTCTCTCACTGTCTGTAACTCTACCTGTCAAATAAATAAAAAATTCTTTTAAAAATGATTGATTTATTTTCATCTTATTTCAAAGGCAAAGAGATGAGAGAGAGAGCAAGAGCGAGAGAGAGAGAGAGAGAGAGAGGTCTTCCATTTATTGGTTCACTCCCCAAATGCCTGCAACAGCCAGAGCTGGGCTATACTGCAAAATCAAGTGGGCATTGGGTGAGTCAGACTGTGTCTTTACTGGGCCATCTCGTGCTGCCTTGCCAAGGTGCACATGAGCAGAAGCTGGGATTGAAAACAGGGCCTGGAGTTGAGCCCAGGCACTCAGATACAGTATGTGGGTGCCCCAAGTGGCGTCTTAACTGCTGAGCCCGAACGCCTTCCCCTGTGTGTGTTTCTGATAACTCTCAGTTGACTCCCTTGGGTTGTGATTTACTTGTCTGTGCTAAAAAGAAACTTTGAAAAAATTAAGAGGGAGAGCCCCTCCCTGTCCTTGAGTCCCCACTTAGGCTAGGCATTGTTCTAGGTGTTGATTTATGTCCACATACTCTCTCTCTCTCACACACACACACACACATCTATGTGAGGGAACTTCAAAAAGTTCATGGGAAAACCGAATTAAAAATAGGTTTGGAGGCTGGCATTTTGATGAGTAGGTAAAGTGACCACTTGCAAGACTAGCATCCCAAGTCAGAGCGCCAGCCCTGCTGCTGTGCTCGGATCCGCTCCCTGACACTGCGCCTGGGAAAGCAGCAGCAGGTGCTTGAAGTCCTTGGGCCCCTGCACCTGCGTGGGAGACCCAGATGGAGCTCCTAGCTCTTGGCTTTGGCCTGGCTCATTATCATGTGGGCAGTAGACCAGTGGGTGGAGGATCCCTCTCTCTACACTGGCTTCTCTGTCACTCTGCCTTTAAAATAAATAAAATAACAAATTTTTAAAAAGTTTATTTTGGTGCAAAAATGTTTGGAATCTGTGTGGTTTTTTTTTTATATATTTTTCATGAACTTTTTGAAGACCTCATGTAGACAATTTCAATTTTTTCTTGCAGCAAAATAAACTTACCTTTTAATTTCATTTCCTGAGAACTTTTTGAATTGTGTGTGTATGTGTGTGTGTGTGTGTGTGTGTGTGTAGTGGGTGGTAGATGCTAGAAGGACAAAGCAGACTCAAGGGAGCTAAATAAACTGAGCAGAGGGACCACTGATCTGGAAAATAAATGACAACTTCATTCACTTTTTTAAAATAAGAATACTGTAGGCTAGATGCTAAAAAAATTGACAGCTGTGACTAGCGTAAGACATTCTACAGGGCCGGCGCCACGGCTCACTAGGCTAATCCTCCGCCTTGCAGCGCCGGCACACCGGGTTCTAGTCCCGGTCGGGGCGCAGGATTCTGTCCCGGTTGCCCCTCTTCCAGGCCAGCTCTCTGCTGTGGCCCGGGAGTGCAGTGGAGGATGGCCCAAGTGCTTGGGCCCTGCACCCCATGGGAGACCAGGAGAAGCACCTGGCTCCTGCCTTCGCATCAGCGTGGTGCGCCAGCTGCAGAGCGTCGGCCGCGGTGGCCATTGGAGGGTGAACCAACAGCAAAGGAAGACCTTTCTCTCTGTCTCTCTCTCTCACTGTCCACTCTGCCTGTCAAAAAATAAAAAAAAAATAAAAAAAATAAAAATAAGACATTCTACAATGAAATGCTGCAAGTGGAAGAGCTATTTTGTTAGGTTAGACACATGGCTATTGAATTAAACTCCGGAAGGGAAGCCACGACTTGCAAATGGGCACTGCAGGAAACTAAAACCAGTGAGTAAAAAACAGACTGAAGATAAATTTCTTAGAACACAAAATCAAAAGATAAGGAAATGAAAATGAAAGACTGGAATCAGTGTGAAAGACAGATATCAAAGAGCCACCCACGAGCAGCAGGAGTTCCTAAAAATAATCAGAATCATTTGGGGCAGAAGCCACGTGTAGAAAATGTCTTTGTTTTCGGGAAGACCTTTGTTTAAATGCTGAATTTGCTTACTGTTTTCATTAGGAATCTGGATTTTGTTGGGATTCCGGCTCAAACTGGCTCATGCAAGAAGGGGGTTCTTCCTGGCTCCAGTGAGGGAGCCAAAGCTTCCCCAGGAATGCGCCTCCATGGTGCCTCCTTCCTGTGCGTGCGTCCCCTGGTTGGGGGGGTTGCTCCCACAGGGGGCACTCACGCCCTCCAGGCTTACCTTCTTTCAGCCTGACAACCCCCAACCTCCCCTCCACCACTTCCATCATTAACCCTGGGTTAATCCTCAGCGACTTTGATTGGCTTGGCGCGGGTCATGTCCCCCCCTGGAGTCTGTCTATGTGCCTGCGAAGGGTTGTTGCATTCACTTCAGTGTCAGCACACATCTCCCCCTGGAGGGAGGCCTGGGTCAGCTCTGTCCAGCGCTTGCATGAGGTGCGAGTAAGGCAGAGACCATTTCCCAGAGGAAAACAGCGCTGCTGATCCCAGAAGAAAGCCGAGCGGACGCTGGGCGGGCTGAACACTATCACGCTGAGCAGATGAATTCAACAACTGCTCCCAGATGCTTCCAGGCAGAGGGTCTAAGCTCAAAGGTTAAGAAAGCTCTAGAAATAAAATGCAGGGAGGAAAAGAAGAGAATCAGGCATGCTTCAGATTTTTGCTCTGTAGCTGTATTAAGGCAACGATGCAAAGGTTTTTGAATGGTGAGGGAAAGAAGTCCTGTCCCCCAGGAATTCTATACCTTGGTCATTTGTCATCCATAACACACACACTCAGACACTGCCATCCCAGGACTGCTCCTGAGAAAACCAGGAGCCATATATTGTAGACCGCTGGGGATCAATTAGACGCAACCCAACAGCCGGTCCTGTGCGTGCTTAACTGGTTCCGTGTCCTCTCGCCTGTGCCTGCGCAGTCGGAGCTGGTGTCGGCTCTCCTCTGGACCATTGCCACAGCCTGTGAACTTCCGTTTCCCTTTCACTCTCACCCTTTCTAAACCATTTCCCACATGTTGTCTCATGGGCTCCTAATACGCCAGATTGTGTCACTTTCTCTCGTAAAATAATGTGCCAGCTTCTTCAGGCGCGCAGATCACAATCAAGGTCCTTCTCATGGCCTCCAAGGCCTTTCCTGACGGGGGCTCCGCATGCTGTCCCCAGCCACCCCAGCCTTTTCTGGTCACGCGAGTCACACGGTCGCCCAGCCGTTCCTGTGGGCAGCCTGCCGAGCCCCTTCCTCTCCAGGGCTCCCTTTGGCTGGCTCCTTCCTTAGCAACCCTGGCTCCCATCACCTCCTCAGGTGCCCTCTGGACTCCCAGTCTAGAAGTGGGTTCCTGCCCCTTTTCTTGGCACCCTTGTCTGCAACCACCAGTCCCAGTGTGTGATCACAGATGTATGGGCATCCGTGCATGTGTGTATCTCCCCCTAGTGTGTGGACCCCATGAAGACAGGGGCTGTGTTTCTTTCGCTCACCCCGAATTCCCAGGTCTTACGCTGTGTGTGACACAGAAACGGTAGGCAATAGGCATTTGCAGGTGAGAGAAGGAAGATTGAAATGAGGCAAGCCGGCGCCGCGGCTCACTAGGCTAATCCTCCGCCTTGCAGCGCCGGCACACTGGGTTCTAGTCCCGGTTGGGGCGCCGGATTCTGTCCTGGTTGCCCCTCTTCCAGGCCAGCTCTCTGCTGTGGCCAGGGAGTGCAGTGGAGGATGGCCCAAGTGCTTGGGCCCTGCACCCCATGGGAGACCAGGAGAAGCACCTGGCTCCTACCATCGGATCAGCGCGGTGCGCCGGCCGCAGCGCACCGGCCGCAGCGGCCATTGGAGGGTGAACCAACGGCCAAGGAAGACCTTTCTCTCTCTCTCTCTCTCTCTCTCTCTCTCACTGTCCACTCTGCCTGTCAAAAAAAAAAAAAAAAAAAGAGGCACTGATATACAGAAAAAATGATTTTATGTAGGAAGGAGTCTAAGTAATGAATTTCACTGTGATTTCTAAGGTGACGACAAACTTTCTCTTAAAGAAACGAACTCGTTTAAAAAATGGAGTAGAGTGGCTGGCGTGGTGGCTTAGTTAGGTTAAGCCTCTGCCTGCAGTGCCGGCAGCCCATATTGGCACCTGTTAGAGTCCTGGCTGCTCCTCTTCTCATCCAGCTCCCTGCTAATGGCCTGGGAAAGTAGTGGAAGATGGCCCGAGTCCTTTGGCCCCTGCACCCACCTGGGAGACTTAGAAGAAGCTCCTGGCTCCTGGCTTTGGATCAGCCCAGCTCCAGCTGTTGCGTCCATTTGGGGAGTGAATCAGTGGATAGAAGACCTTTCTCTCTGTCTTTCCCTCTGTCGGTAACTCTACCTCTCAAGTTAGTAAATAAAATCTTAAAACAAAATGAAGTAGAGAGCAGATTTAAAAATACAAAATGAAGTGAACAAATCCAGTCTAGAGGGCTTTTGGTTCCTGAAAAAAAAAAAAAAAAAAACCGGTACCATGCTGTGAGAACTGATAACACGGCCGTGATGCCACAGCTCCGAGAGCAGGACTAGCGGTGCAAGTGGCGTGCTCGAGGCTTTAGAAGGACAGAATTCAGTGACCCGGGGAGGGAGGCATGGAGGCCATTCCTGTGTGTGTGTGTGTGTGTGTGTGTGTGTGTGGTGGGAGAAGACTCAGTGAGCAGACAGAATAAATGAAGGAGATGGAGGGTGTGGAGCAGCCCCGACTTCCACACAGCACAGAACTCAGAGTCGGAATCCAGAAACTTGTCACGAGGACAGAGTTTCGGCCTTGGAGGGGCCTGCTGGGGTGTACCTGCGTCTGCAGGTGCCCCAGGCCTCGGCAGGAGTCCCACGAAAAGGCACCCAGCCCGTTCGGCGTGTGGACAACAAGGACCCCTTGTGGTGCAAGGGGGAAGGGAAGAGACAGATGTAGCAAAGTCTGCGGGGGCCAGGGCTGCTGCCCGAGGGAGGATGGCCTGGGTGGGGCATGGTGAGTGAGGGCGTGGGTGAGGATCCTCTAGGACAGAGAAGGAAGGCAGAAGGTTCTAGAAAAACGTGCACTACTTCCAGTGAACTCAGGGACAGATGCTGTGTAGGGGCGGGGGAGCCATGCTGCTCTCTGTTTATTCTTGGGGAATAATCTCTGTTGATAACGCTGTCCTTCAAGGCCACCCCTGGCTGTTGGTGCCTGGAGGCTGGGGCAGGAAAGCCGGCAGTGGAGAGAGGCGAATGCGGCTTTCCTAGGTAAAGGCTCCGGGCTGGGAATCCTGCCCCACCCATTTAGTATTTGTGTGAGCCTGCTCTCATCAAAGGAAGGGGCGACCCCCACATCCCTGAGTCTGACCCTCCTATGGGACGGGCTTTGTAACCTGCAGTGTGAGTGCTATTTGGTCCTCAGTCGCAAGGTGTGGCTGAGCAGGAGACTGAGGGCTGGGGTAGGGTCTCGGGGCCTGACCCCTGTGGTTTTTCCTACGGGTCCTCACTTCAGCTCAGCCTCAAGGGAGGCCCCAGTTGGCCAACTGAGTAGAGCAGCCCCTGGCTCTGGTAGAGATCTTTATTTATTAAAAAACTTCAAGGGACTGGCACTGTGGCATAGAAGGTTAAGCCTCCACCTGAAGTGCCAGCATCTCACATGGGCACTGGTTCGAGTCCCGGCTGCTCCACTTCCGATCCAGCTCTCTGCTGTGGCCTGGGAAAGCAGCAGAAGATGGCCCAAGTCCCTGGGCCCCTGCACCCATGTGGGAGACCCAACAGAAGCTCCTGGCTCCTGGCTTTGGCTTGACCCAGCCCTGACCATTGTGGCCATTTGGGGAGTGAACCAGCAGATGGAAGATCTCTCTCTCTCTGTATTTCTGAGTTTCAA